CTAAAAGTCGGATCACTTCTCAACATTAGCATTGTCATGCAGTCTTGGGGCAAAGCAGACTTGCAGAATTGGGTGGCTTCTGGAGTAATTTTGCATGCCATTGCCACCTGATCACAGCTGAAGTTTGTCCTGTTTGCTTTTTTTTTTTTTTTGGCGGGGGATAAGGAAAGGAAAGGGCCGCGCCCTTCTTGCTGTGAGTAGGACATGACAAGTCAAAGAGCAGCTCGATATTGTTGCGAGGGTTCTGCGGGAGGAGAACACACGTGCAGCAAGATGGCTTCATGCTCTCCTGGTCTTTGTATCAATAACCACAATGTAGTTAAATAGTTATCTATGTGATTATCGGTTTAGCGTCCATCAACCTCATGAACAGAAAGTTCTATGAGAGCAGAATGTCCCAGCTCATACGGTGGAGGGCTTGGCACACAGCAGGTGCCCGATAGATACTTGTAGAATGAATGAATAAACAAGTGAAAAAATGATCCTGTTTCAGAAGTGTATGATTGAACTTCTTTGTCTCTGCTTGTAGGGAGACAACTCTGGTGGTCTATATCATGACTCTGGTGGGCATGGTGGTATACACATTAACCTTGAACCTGGGACGCCTGTGGGTAGTGTTCATTACCGCTGGCACAATGGGGTAAGTTTCACCTCTTAACATGTTTAACTGGAAAGCACCATGGCATGGCCCCTAGAGCTGCTGACATCCTAGGAAACAATATTGATCCTTTTGCTGCCTTCTCACTGACTTCTGTGGAAATGTGGAAATGGTGCCCAGAGGTCTTGTTTATTTGTAGCACTTCAAAAAGGCCACCTGGTGCTTCTAGGCCTATCCATGCTGTTGAGATGGAGCATGTTCTTCATAGACCTCTGGGAGTCTAGGAAACATTCAGTCATTTTTAGCTCTGCCTGGGACAACATGGGGTCACAGCAAATATGCAGGGCTTGGAACCTGAAAGTCTGAGTCCCGATCTCAGTTCTGCTGCTGACTATTTATTAGACTGCAGGCATGTTACTTAACCACTCTGAGCCTCAGTCTCCTCATCTATGAAAGAATATGAGAGTGGCCTGCCTTGTAGAGTTGTTGAAAGGATTGAGAGATGGCAGATGTGAGAACAGTAAGAAGTGTGGTACAGATGTAAGGAATTAGAATTGGAATTTTCCAGACCTGTTGTATGGGAAAATGTAGGAATCAGTACCCCTCCCGCAGGAGTCTGTGCTCAGCTTCACCTCCCAATTATTTACTGTGGGTAATATGTGAGAGAGAGAGAGAGACAGAGAGAGACAGAGAGACAGAGACAGAGACAGAGACAGACAGACAGATCTACAGTCCTTCTCAGCTGGTCACTCAGGGGGAAATAGGGAGGACTCTGAGCTCTTCCTTCTGGGTCCCAGAGAGTCATGAAGATGCTGTTTAATACCCAGGGACTTTCCATTCGCAGCACAGGGCCTGTATGCCCATGACACAGACTCTCTCAGCTGAGGGCTGAACGCTCCAGGCATCTCCACCCTGTCTGTAACTGACAGTTAGACATAGAAGCAGGGGACTCCCAAAGGCCTCCCGAGTACAAAGCCTACATGTGAACTTCTTACTGGCCTGCAGGGATCTCTCTGTCCTTGGTATGGCCACCTAGGGATGGCCTGATCATTCAAGGGCCTGTCATGTCTCGATGGGTAGAAACAAAATAGGAAAAGGAGTTCTAAGGGAGGAGGTAGGCTCTCCATTCTCATTCTGGAAGTTCTCCATCACCTTATTTCTGTGATCTGACCTTCAGTTTCTTTATGACTGGCTATCTCCCACTGGGATTTGAGTTTGCTGTGGAGCTGACATATCCAGAATCAGAAGGCATGTCATCTGGCCTCCTCAACGTGTCTGCCCAGGTAGGTCTTATTTGATGGTGGTCCCATAGCACTGGCGATTTGTTCTCTGCCCTGCTTCGCTGGCGTAGGCATTGCATTATGGCAGCTCAGCTCTGTTGTGGGCTAGTTGGCTGGGCTTTTGTTTCCAGTCTTCTTTTTACCTTTCCAGGTCTTCGGGATCATCTTCACCATCTCCCAGGGCCAGATTATCAACAACTACGGAACCATGCCCGGGAACATCTTTCTGTGTGTGTTCCTCACCCTCGGAGCAGCTCTCACTGGTGAGTGGGGCCTTAGGACAAGATGAGGCTTGGACTGTTCATGGGCTTAGGCGATTTGAGACCCAGTGTCTTGATTGACCATACAGATCGGGAGTACACATGCAGGACAGCGGGGAGGGCTCGCCAGGAAATCTGTTTAGGAGGCAATAACATGTTTTGGTAGAATGAGCATGGCCTTTGGAGACAAAAGACCTTGTTTGAATCCCAGACTGTGTACAGCTGGTTGACCTTGGGCAAGCAGACCAAACTCTGGGAGCCTCTGGGAGTTTCTTAATCTGTAAAATTGGCGATTGTCGTGAGCTTTAGAACAATGTTTGCCAACTCCCTGGCAAATATAAGTGATCTATAAATGAAATCCAGTGTCTCCTTGGCTTCTGCCTCTCAGAGACAGCAGTGATTTCCAGGCTTTATCAAGTCGTGTGACGATGCCCTTACCTCCCGAGAATATCCGAAATAGGTCTGGGATATCTGTGACCCTTGGGAAAATGAGGGCTCCCTCTCTTGGATGAACTTGGCCATTGGTCTGCTTGATAACTCTGTGTCTCTGTTGCTCTTCCTTCTCAATCTCTCAACCTCAGCATTCATCAGGGCAGATCTACGGAGGCAAAAAGCAAACAAAGAAACTCCTGACAACGTGAGTGTGTGGGAGCTTGCTGGGCTGAAATCTGGGTCCCATGGGTGGGGCAGTGGGACCTCTCCCATAGTAGACTCGAAATCTGGGTCCCGGGCCGAGGATGGGTGGGGCAGTGGGACCTCTCCCATAGTAGACTGGTTTTGTGGTGGCAGAGAGACCAGATCAAATCTCACAAACATGGCACCCGGAGAGCTTGTTCACTGCGTGCTTCAGCACTGCTTTTCTGCTGCTCTTTCGTGGGCTCTTTCTCAGCTCCTTCTCCAGCCTCCCTGCTCTGGTCCTCAGAGCATGTCACTATTGTCACAGTCTGATGAGCACTCACCCCTTGGATCCTGAGCCCAGTCCTGAGGCCCTGGTTCCACTGCTTTCAGCCCGGGTCAGTGGCTGGGGAGGAAAGGTGGGAGGCTGGTTCAACCATTCTGTCATGGTGGTGGTGGCCCCAAGGCAGTGGCTCTCCTGGCATGTGACAGCCCCTTAGACAGTGCCATGGGGCTGGAAAGACTGGAGTCAGTGGATTGCTAGTAGGACTCAGAAAGAACAAGCCAGGAAGTGGAGCCGATGGTGGTAGAAGGGGACAGAAGCAGGACTATGATCTAGAACAGAGAAGTGTTTCCCTCCTGCTCTAATCAGCTGGGAACCATTTTAACCAAAATGTTAGGTATCAAATCTGAGATAGAATGAAAGGAGTTTCAGATTGGAGGAGTAAAAGTGGGATATTTCTTAAAAACAAAACAAAACAAAACAAAAACATCCAAACCCCAAATTTAAAAATACAGAAAAGTGTACAAAATTTTAAAATCGCCCTGTAATACTATCATCTAGAGGTGAGATGCCACTTTTTGCATTGACTCATACGTGTCCATATCCACATATATATCCGTATGTGTGTGTGTGTGTGTATGTGTGTGTAGTTTTAAAATAAACCTGGAATCTTGTTCGATCTGCCTTTTTACTTGTTATGAACACTTTATCAGCTCATTAGTCTTTTACAACCTGCCTTCAATGACTGCACCATGTTCTTTTGTATGAGTAAACCGTGAAATATTTCTGTCCATGGATATTCAGGTTGTTTTTGATTGCTATTTTAAACCACATTGTGATTAAGGTTCTGGAAGCCAAATCTTTGTGCATGTTCTGAAGCACAGCATTTCCTTTAGAAACGTATCAGTGGTCATGTACATTTTTAAGACTGATATGTTGCTAACTGTCCTCCCAGAAGATGCTATCAATACTACACATTTATATCGATAGAACAGTATATGAGTGCCAACACCACATTAATCATTTTGAAAAATCTTTGCCAATTTTCTAAGGCAAAAATGGTATCTGCAAGAGGTATATTTAGTATTTTAAAAATATGCATTTGGTACATAGATGATAATCTTTAGTTCTTTACTATTTGTCTTCTGATCTCGAGCTCTAGAGTTGGCAGCAGCAGAGAGCATGTGGAGGGAGGAGCTAGGATGGGAAATTCACTGGGGAGAGAAGGAAAACCTT